TTCCCAGCATCAGGGTCTTTTCCAAGGAGTCCTCTCTTCGCATTAGGTGACTAAAGTATCTGAGCTTGAGCTTCATTAACCCTAACCCTAACCCTCCTAGCAGTCCAGGGGACTCTTAAGAGTCTTCTCCAGCACCACAGTTCAAAGGCATCAATTCTTTGGCACTCAGCCTTCTTTATGGTCCAGCTCTCACAGCCATACATACATACAGCCATACATACATACAGCCAATATGGCATAGGGCCTGGTTATTTGAAAGATCATCTATCTCCCATGATATCTGCCCAGCACATATGAACTGATGGGGCAGGCGCATTTCAGGTCCCTTCAATTAAGCAGTGTCATCTTTCTGTGCTTTTTCTTTTATGGTGCCTGCCCTCTGTAATTAAGTTCCCCCTGAAATTAGGGTCTATCCCACCCTGACAGCATTTGGTGATCCTTGAAGACCAGGCTCTTCTCCCAGGACTTGGGCTATGGTGGTTGGAGCCCCTTGGGAGTTTTGTTGGTTGGATTCACTATCTTGTTCTTTATTTGCTTTCTTTCTTGTCTTTTGCTAGTTTATTTTTGAATATATTTATGTATGTATTTATATTATGAGCCACCCTGAGTCCTTTGGAGTTGGGCAGTGCCTAAATTGAGTAAATTAAATTAAATTAAATTAAATTAAATTAAATTAAATTAAATTAAATTAAATTAAATTAAATTAAATTAAATTAAATTAAAAACCTAAAACAGCTTCCCCAGTTTGAGCATCAGAATTCCCAGCTAGCTTGGCTGTTGGTAAGAATTATGGGAATTGAAATTGAAAGATTTGAGAAGGCCCAGAAGTCGGTACCTCCCTCTAATGTGAAGTGTAGAGGTTTGCTCAAAAGCATCATGAGGCAATGCTAGAGGGGTCAGAGACCCTTGACCTTCAATCTTCTGACCTTCCAGAGGTAGTGTCACAGGAATAGATGGAGCTGATTTTTAAAATTCTTTTTGGGATTAAGGGTGGAGATGCCCAATGCTCAGAGAGGCATTTGTTTCCTTTCTCATCCTTACTTTCTCCTCCAAGCCTGAAAAAGTGCCCAAAGTCTGAAGTGTTAGATTTGTCACAGAATTTGTCACATTCATGAAATGCACCTAGAAGGCCTGGATGGGGGGGGGGGGGGGGGGGGG